TCCATGTGAGAAACTTGGTATTGCAATTCAAGTCCCACTACTTTCAGAGACTGGCCCTGTGCTTTGATGATTAACATTACAAAGCTTAATTTGAGTTGGAATTATAGGCGTTTGAACTTGAAGGGGAGATAGGTTGGGATTAGTGGGATGAAAACATGTCCCCCTTTGTTGTTCCCAGTAATGTTGTATTATTATGCAGCAACAACTAAAATGTTGAAATTTTTAACAATTTCTTTTATCCTAAAACAAAAATGTGACTTTTGATGTGAATAAAATTTTTGTTAGTTAATTTATAGCAATTGTTATAGAGTTTTCTTATATATATATAGCTTAGAATAATACATTACTACTGCATATTAATTACTATCTTGACTTTAATCTCAGTTTACACAGTAAGTATGATTTAAGCCTTACACTTTTCCCATGTCTATTTTATAACAGACAGCAAAATTTTATTTTATAGGCTAGGCCTACTGTTTGCTTTTTCACACACGACATTCTAATTCCGCATACATTTTTTGTATGTGAGAGGTTAAATATAAGATGTATTAGTAGATCTATAACTAAATAGACCTATAATGCTATATTCTAAATTAAATGTTAACTCAAACTTATCAAAAAATCTCAAATCTGCGTAGAATTTATTCATGTAATGTACATGTTAAAGATAAAATTACCGGTACTTCTAGCAGATGATAGGCGCGTATATCAACGAAAAATTGTCGTTTTGCGCACCTTCACGTGAGGAAAGTGTGACCTACCCGTGAAAGCGGCGACAAACAAGCAAGCAAACAGATTTTGATATATAGATTATTATATTTATTTTCTTACTTCACGAAATTTCCAGACCATAATATTATGCGCCTTTTAGCAAACAAATTATATAATATACTAGTATAAAACCCTGTCAAACATGATGGGAAGCCATTGTTGAATGATTAACGAAAATTATAAAATTTAACTATAATGAATTTTTTTATACCTCCAAAATGCACTTATTTCATCAGTCTCTTTAATCACCACATTTTTAGTAAAAACTAGGAAGAAAAAAGTACGTGTGCACTCTGAAAGAAACTTAAATAGCACTTTTGAGCCTTTTCACTGTATTCTAGGTCGGGAAGTAGAAAACATAGTGCGGACATTCCGAGACAAATATTAAACTGTTTCGACTGTACAAAGAATAAAAGATATTTGCTACTAATAAACTTTTACTTTTCTTTATGTTTTAAGGCCAAGTAGGTAATATATGTGTAAAA